AGGGCCTGACGTCCACAGGTGGGGGTTGTGCTTACAGCCCAACATCTTGCAGGACGTTTGGCCTTTTCCAGAGAACACCAAGATTGGCAAATTCGCCACTGGCGCCCTGTGCTCTTCACAGATGAAAGCAGGTTAACACTGAGTGCATGTGACAGACGTGACAGAGTCTGAAGACGCCGTGGAGAACATTCTGCTGCCTGCAACATCCTCCAGCATGACCGGTTTGGCAGTGGGTCAGTAATGGTGTGGGGTGGCATTTCTTTGGGGGGCCGCACAGCCCTCCATGTGCTCGCCAGAGGTAGCCTGACTGCCATTAGGTATCGCGATGAGATCCTCAGACCCCTTGCGAGACCATATGTTGGTGCGGTTGGCCTCATGTGGCTGGAGTGTGTCAGCAGTTCCTGCAAGTCAAAGGCATTGATGCTATGGACTGGCCCGCCCATTTACCAGACCTGAATCCAATTGAGCACATCTGGAACATCATGTCTCGCTCCATCCACCAACGTCACGTTGCACCACAGACTGTCCAGGAGTTGGCAGATGCTTTAGTCCAGGTCTGGGAGGAGATCCCTCAGGAGACCATCCGCCACCTCATCAGGAGCATGCACAGGCATTGTAGGGAGGTCATACAGGAACATGGAGGCCACACACACTACTGAGCCTCATTTTGACTTGTTTTAAGGACATTACATCAAAGTTGGATCAGCCTGTAGTGTGTTTTGCCACTTTAATTTTGAGTGTGACTCCAAATCCAGACCTCCATGGGTTGAAAAATTTGATTTCCATCATTTAAATTTTGTGTGATTTTGTTGTCAGCACATTCAACTATGTAAAGAACAAAGTATTTCTGAAGAATATTTAATTCATTCAGATCTAGGATGTGTTATTTTTGTGTTCCCTTTATTATTTTGAGCAGTGTATATTAAACCACCTATATGATCAGACTTGCATGTTCTGAGCCCTCCCCATAAACCACAGCAGTATAGTAAAAATATATATTCTCTTTAAGCTGTGTTTAAAAAGGTACATCACGTTGGTAACTATAAAACAGGAATATTCCATAGAACTTTCTTTGCATATTTTTTGAACTATAAAGTGAAAAGGGTGTTAGTTTGTCAGAATGACTTGAGGCCATTTAAAATAGGTAACACACTTCAGATATTTATAATTCACATTTGCTGTACATGTGCCAGAATTCATAGCAATTAGAAAAGCTTTATGTGCCCCTCGCGACCACATTCTGCGATATTGTCCCTGATTATAAGTTTGCTGATTTGATAGCTGTAACCTGTGATTGGAGTTTGCTGGGGTAAAGTTTCAATTCTTATTAGTTAGAACATTATCGCTATGAATTGCAACCCCTGAACATTAAATGAGAATATAAAATATATTCACACGAGGTTCGAATCAGCAATACGTGCAGAGCCGAGCTATTTTTTTTTAAAGGAGAATTACTGTTAGCTCGTTAACTAGGGGGGGAAAAATGTGTGTACTTTGGAGCCAAAGTATTTAGTTACTTTTTTTTTAGAAATATACCACAAATCTAATGCAATTGTTCAGTAATGAAGGGAGCTCTTGTCCATAAAAACATGTTTAGTGGGATAATGAGCAAATCAAAATAATTTTAATAAATCAAAGCTTTTGATTGCTTTAAAGGGTACTTGTTGTGCACAAAACAACTATAGCTCTCTAAAAAGAGCATTCAATTTCATCTATTTATTATGCTAGCAGTTATGCTATCAACTATATAGATTGGGAGAAAATCCACGACCTGTTAATCAGTTCTTCCGTGTAGACCAGACATAGGCAACCTTCGGCACTGCAGTTGTTTTGGACTACACCTCCCATGATTAGTGATGTCCCGAACGGTTCGCGAACGGTTCGCCACGAACGGTTCGCCACGGACTCATCATTGAGTAAACTTTGACCCTGTACCTCACAGTCAGCAGACACATTCCAGCCAATCAGCAACAGACCCTCCCTCCCAGACCCTCCCACCTACTGCACAGCATCCATTTTACATTCATTGTGAAGCTGCATTCTTAGTGAGCTGTCCAGGAGGTGGGAGGGTCTGGGAGGGAGGGTCTGCTGCTGATTGGCTGGAATGTGTCTGCTGACTGTAAGGTACAGGGTTAAAGTTTACTCAATGATGAGTCCGTGGCGAACCGTTCGTGACGAACTGTTCGCGGACCGTTCGGCGAACCGTTCGGGACATCACTACCATGATGCTTTGCCAGCATCATGGGTGTAAGAGCATTATGGGGGATGTAGTCTACAACATCTGGAATGCCAAAGGTTGCCTACCCCTGGTGTAGACTCTATACAGCAGTGCTCCTTATCCCTCTCCACAAGACACATCTTACAGTTCAGAATTGAGTTATTACCCAGGTGTGTCTAAGGTGTATAGAAAAATAAAAAAAGTGTTTTTGAAACACCTTAGACACACCCGGGTAATCCCTAAATCCTAGACTGTTAGGTGTACCTTGAGTAGAGGATTGAGGAGCACAGCTATACAGAACAATTGATTGATAGAAAAAGAGCAGAAGAACCCTCCCATAGCAGGTCCACCAACTCTCCACACATAGAGATGCACCATGGTTGCTATGGAAACTCCCTAGCTAGCAACGCCACTGAGGAGGTTTGCCATGCTTATAGAAGTGTCCGCAAGCAAAGCAAATCGATGAATAGTAGATGAGGAGTGAGGGCGGACTGGAGATGGGTGTTTCAGAACTGCTGTACACACTTCCCCAATGCGATAGCGCCAGGGGAGTGTAGGCTACGGCGGTTACAGGTTCCTTTTAAAAGAAAACTAATAATGTGGGAAAAACTGCCTCAGAATTATTATGTTCGCCATCAGTTTGTAAAAGTCCAGTGGGAGATGAAGTTTTAACACATCTGAGTATCTTCCACTTAGACACCTTCATCTAACGTCATCCAGTTTCATGAAATAACCAGTCTCTGAAAGAAGGAACTCCAAAATAGACCAACCCGAGCACAACAGTAGGACAATAAAAATGAAAGGAACACTCCAAGCACCATAATCACTACAGTACACTGTAGTGGTTATGGAGCCAGATGTGCCCTGTGTCCCCTGTATAAAGTGTCAAACGGCATTAGAATGGTTTGACTTATTACTTGGAGTTTGTCGGGTGCCACTCCACACACCCACTACTTCCTAGAGAGAGCCAGAAGCTCTCAGTCTGATCTTATTGGCTGTGAGGAACCATCTAATGCTCTCAGACGATGAGCTAGCCCTGGATTGCAGCTTAGCTGAAGGGAGCTCACAGAATCTCCTGGTTAGGAGCTTACGGCTTTCTATAGGTCCCTGGTGGACCTTAGCTAAGATGTCAAATTGTTCTAAAACAGTTACCATAGGGGGTGCCAAGTATTTCCCGGCACCATAACCACTACATGCCTTTAAATAAAAAATAAAAAAAGCTTCTCATTTCATTGAGAAGGTAAACAATTTTAGACACATATATGCATATATATTTTATATTGTGTTGCGTAGTCTTTAATTTGGAGGATGCACTAAAGGATAAGAACATACATCTCTCTCACTCCCTCTACAAATAAAAAAAATGCAATTAGTACACAGCAAAATAAAAAGTATATTAAAATACAGCTAAAAAAGTGCTTTTTTTTTTTTTAGGGTAGATTAACAGTCACCTGTATGGAGCTGCCTAGGCTTTCTGCTAAGAAATTAGGGGTTGATGGCGGTGTAGTTTGCAATAAAGCTTTGTGTCTGTGAATATAATTGTTGTGTTTATGAGTGTGTGTACCAGTGTGTCTGGGGGGAGCTGGTCCCAAGAAATCTAATGGCACCCCAGAAGGTCATCATACATAAAGATTCCTATATACAGGAAAGCACATTTAGAAAAAAATAAAATGAAAATGATAAATTTGGAACAGATTTGTAAACTTTGCCAGAAGCAAAAATCTTGACCATTACTCTAATAAGTTCCTGATCATTAAGTGGCAGGGTTTGATTAATTAGATGATTTACATACATCAGTTTATTAGAAAATGGGTCATGTTAATTACAATATTCAGTTAGCATTAAATCTCTGCAATTTGTCACTCTATTCATGACACATACAATGGCATGTTATTTCTTATAAAGCAGGAATGTAAGGCTTTGCTGAAAATACAATAAAAGTGAAATCAGCTTAAAAAAATACAATTAAACTAGCATTTTTTTATATAATTTAAATTGTGATGAACTGAAAATTGATTTCACTAAATCAATCCATTTACTATCGAGTTCTTCTCCAAATAAAATAATTGAAGCATAACATTCATTTTAAACACAATATGCATAGCCATGACATTAAATTAGGGCAAACTAACAGTATTTGATACAGAGTTTTGTTTAGTGCTAAGTAAATACTTAAGAAGAATGTGCATTAGCAGAACTATTTATTAATGTCTTTATTCAACACGTTGAGAAATATTGGTGGAAATATAAATGATTCAACATACAGTATCCATTGCAGAGGCAAATTGTGTTCATGGTCTATGGGCCAACGGCAGTGATGGACCTGCAAATGACAATCTTAAATGGGAAATGTCACATCCCTGGGTTTTTAATAGTATGTCTACTTATCCCTATATTTAGCAAATGTATATTTTTGAGATGTGAAAAACTAAAATTAAATGAACACTCCCATCGCCATAGCAACTTAATATAGCTTAATATAGTGTTGTTCCTGAAAAAGAGCTATGTTTACATCTGTCCCAAAAGGACAGCTCTAGTGGCTGTCACTCAGAAAATCAATCAGTCACTAAGACAGTTACTAGAGGCATTTTTTTTGTGTGATTCTACCATCTTTGCAGGAACTGAGATCAAGCTCTGCACGAAGATGCAGAACACTCCCCATAGAGATGCATTAAGATGCATTGACCTCTATGAAGATATGCTGATTGGCGTAGTTGTGCATGGTGTACTATTCCTCCAAAGCAGGAGTTGCCAACCCAGCCCTTAAGGACCCCCTACCAGTGCAGGATTTAGGGATTACCTGGGTGTGTCTAAGGTGTTTTGAAAAAGAAGAAAAAAAACACCTTAGACACACCCAGGTAATCCCTAAATCCTGGACTGGTAGGGGGTCCTTGAGGACTAGGTTGAGAACCCTTGCTCTAAAGCTTCTATGTTGGGAGGCATTGGAGTGGCTGAGATTATCTGTAATGATAATCTCAGCCAGGCAAGATTATTGCATCAGCAGAGGTGATTAAAACTATTAAGCCCTTAAGGACACATGACGGAAATATTCCGTCATGATTCCCTTTTATTCCAGAAGTTCTGTCATTAAGGGGTTAATTTGTTAAGGGATGGCCCATATCTACATATAAAGAAACATTCCAGGCACCATAACCACTACTGGCCATTGTAGTTATTATGATGTTGGGGTGCTCTGGGGTCCACCCAGTGTAACTAGTCCAACTCTTTAAGAACAGTTTGACAACTTACCTTCGGCTACTGAGTGTCTGCCACTGTCTCCTCTGGAAGGAATTTCTGGTAGCTCTGCTGAGGCAAGCTCGGCTCATTGGCTGAGTGTGTCAGATGAGTGTTCTCAGCCAGTGAGCACCTCCATGCTGTCACGTATTCATCCGCTTATAGAAATGTGGTTAATGACATTTACTGTCCACACAGGAAAAGTTGTGCCGAGCAGCAACCTAATCCACAGAAGGGTTAATGCTGAGCAGCAATTATGCAAATTAAACCTGGTAACTGACTTTGGGGTCAAAGGCCGGTTACAGCCTATCAGAACTAAAGGAGGGGTATTTAGGCCCAGTTCTCAGCCTGCTCAGTGCCCTGTCGTGGTTTCCCTTGTGGTTGTCTGAGAGCGCGTTCCTGTTTATAGTTTTCTACCTGGTTTTTGACTTTGGCTTTGTTTATTGACTTCTCTATATTCTGGTATCCTGACTCCTGGCTTTCCTCATCGCTGTGTCCCTTTCTGTGTTCCCTGACCTCGGCTAGTATTTTTGACTATTCTTTGTACGTTAAATCCGGCCATTCTAAGGACCGGTAATACGTTACTTATTTGTCATCCGTGCTGTACAGTTCTACGTGCTGGATCAAACAGTAATCCTGACATTACAACAGGGCCATAGATCCTGTAGAACTGTGTCAGCACATAGCTGCTTGCGAGAGGAAATTAGAGGAGAATGATCACCGCATGGATCAATTCACTCAGGCTTTAAGTACGCTTCTCGCTAGAACGGAGCATCTGCAGCCTGCAGCGTCTCCTCCTATAGCACCTCTACCCTGTGTACCTCCACCCACTGTTAATAGGACTCCTAGCATCTCCTTATCACCATCCCTACAGTTTGATGGCAATATCCAGGAATGCAGGGGTTTTCTTAATCAGGTGGAGTACCATTTTGAGGCCTCACCAGGGTCATTCCCCACGGACAGAGCAAGAATTGGTTATCTAATGAATCAATTAAAGGGCAAGGCCCTTGCCTGGGCTAATCCGTTGTGGGAGAGTAATCGGAGCATAGCTCATAATTACCAGGAATTCCTTGCCGAATTCAAGCTCACGTTTGAGCCATTGGGTAGAGAGGATGACGCCTCCACTGCCCTAATGCACATCAGACAAGGTAACCGGTCTATCTCGGATTATGCTATTGAATTCCGTACCTTAGCTTCCGAGGTAGACTGGACTAACAATGGGTTAATCTCAGCATTCAAAAAGGGTCTCTCAGAGACTATACTAGATGAGATAGCCGCTAAAGAATTACCTAAGAGTCTTAATGAATTTATTACGTTTGTCATGCATATTGATAATAGGTTAAGACTCAGAGAAGTCACCAGAAGCAAGACCAGACGTACGGCTATGTCCCTAGCACCTCAATTCTCTAAACCTGTTTTGTCTAACCTCCCTGTACAGTCCGAACCCGAACCTATGCAGTTGGGGGTCACTAGACTGTCAGAGGCCGAAAAACAGTATAGGAGAAGGGAGGGGTTATGCCTATATTGCGGTAGAAAGGGACATATGATAACTAATTGTCCAGTGCGTCCGGAAAACTTCCGCACCTAAGAACCTTAAGGGGACAGATCTTAGGTGTGATGGAGTTGTCACTAACAAAAACAAAAGGAGATTCCTCCGTGAGGTATCTATTTCCCTTGATAACAAGAAGTTTTCTTGCAGTGCCCTAATGGACTCAGGTGCTGCTGGAAATTTTATTGATGTCCAGTTTATTAGGGGTAATGAGATACCGGTCAGGGAGAGACCTACGCCGCTAGCTGTAGAGGCTATTGATGGTAGACCACTCACACAACCGCTTATAACCCACGAAACTGTCCCTATTACGATCTCCATTGGGGCCTCCCATAGGGAGGAGATGACGTTTCAGGTTATTACTTCTCCATCATGTCCTATCATATTATGGTTTCCGTGGCTGAGTAAGCACAATCCCTATATTGACTGGGCTAATGGGGAGATATTAGAATGGGGTAAAGAGTGTATGGGGAGATGTATAAAACCAGTACTAAAGAGATTGGATACTATTGACCTTCCCACTACCACTCCCCAAACTCCTGGAGTTCCCATACAATACCGAGAACTTCAGGAGGTGTTTAACAAGGCTCAATCCGATGTATTGCCTCCCCACAGAGCATATGACTGTGCCATTAACCTGTTTCCAGGCGCTATGCCACCTAAGGGGGCAGTTTATGCCTTATCTCCCCAGGAGAGTAAAATAATGGAGGAATACATCAAAGAATTTGAGCAAAGGGCACATAAGAAAGTCATCCTCACCAGCTGGTGCAGGATTCTTTTTTGTTGAGAAAAAGGGTGGTGAGTTACGCCCTTGCATAGACTACAGGGCACTTAATAAAATCACTGTAAAAAATGCATACCCTATCCCACTCATTTCCGAATTGTTCGATAGACTTCAGGGAGCTAAAGTATTTACTAAGCTTGACCTTAGGAGCGCTTACAATTTGGTTAGAATTAAAGAGAATCATGAGTGGAAGACGGCATTTAATACCCGTAGTGGACACTATGAATATCTGGTAATGCCATTTGGGTTATGCAACGCCCCGGCCGTATTCCAAGACTTTATAAATGATGTACTCAGGGAATTCATTTACTCATTTGTCTTGGTTTATTTGGACGATATTTTGGTGTATTCCCCTGATCTTCAAACTCACCACTCCCATGTGAAACAGGTTCTGCAGACGTTGTTGAAAAATAACCTGGTAACTGACTTTGGGGTCAAAGGCCGGTTACAGCTTATCAGAACTAAAGGAGGGGTATTTAGGCCCAGTTCTCAGCCTGCTCAGTGCCCTGTCGTGGTTTCCCTTGTGGTTGTCCGAGAGCGCGTTCCTGTTTATAGTTTTCTACCTGGTTTTTGACTTTGGCTTTGTTTATTGACTTCTCTATATTCTGGTATCCTGACTCCTGGCTTTCCTCATCACTGTGTCCCTTTCTGTGTTCCCTGACCTCGGCTAGTATTTTTGACTATTCTTTGTACGTTAAATCCGGCCTTTCTAAGGACCGGTAATACGTTCCTTTTTTGTCATCCGTGCTGTACAGTTCTACGTGCTGGATCAAACAGTAATCCTGACACATGCACCATCAAGCTTAACTCAGTGAAGAGAGCTTCTAAAGCAAGAGGAGGCAGAGATGGACACACGATGTATCACAGGTAAGATGTCAACCCATTTCTGACTACTTACACTGGGGCCTGCTAGGGCACTTCTGAGGCCATAACCATCATAGTGGACTGTATTGGTTCTAGTGCTTGGCATGTTCCTTTAAAACTCATGTAAAATGTCCTTTCAGTGCACTTTTTTAAAGTACTTTATGCTTCCTTTTATTGACTAATGGTGAGGTAGTATTCAAGCACTTCTCTATAGTGAGAATCGTATGTATATCTAGAGTAGCAGTTATGCTCTGAATGCACTGTACCTCTTCATGCTATGAAGAAATGTTTAATTCATTGTGGATACCACCTAAACCGCCATCTATTGAAGCTAGATTCAAGCAGCCAAAGATGAAGCAGGTTTTCTGTAGAACATTATTTACCCCCAAGACTTGTCCTGCATTCCTGATTGCATATAAGATAGTGGCACCCTGTACCATAAATACTTATTTGGTGATACCTCTCCACTGTGTTTGCGAATATGACCATGACAAAGAAGAGTCCGGACACACGAGGTCCTAAGATGGCTTTATTAGGGATCAGGGGTTAAAAAGCCCCACATGGAGCCTTAACATTGCTGAACCCTATCTTAATTATGTCTGAAAAAAAGTAATCTTATGTGGCCTGACTTTTATTTGCTATTAGATTTCCTAGGATTTTTGCCCCTGCTTTCTGGTGGCATTGGGGGAAATATAGACCCACTCTGTATGTGTGCAGTCCTATATGCCTTGATCTGTAAATATGACAGTGGCATTCTGTACCATAAAAACTTTGGAAACCCCAACATATCCTGCCAATGTATTCTGTGCCAACAATCTTTTGCATTTCTGACTGACTAGTTCTGCAAATGTTATTTATTGGTCTTTTTTTGCATAAAGGAACACTATAGTCACCCCAACCAGTTCAGTTCAATGAAGTAATCTTGGTGCAGTGTCCCTACCCTCTTAACCGTGATTTAGAGAAACAATAATTTTTACACTGCAGGGTTAAGTCCACCTCTAGTGGATGTCACTATGAGAGCCACTAGAGGTGCTTCCACTGCACTGACTAAGTAAAACCTAATCACATGACATGGAAGCCCCATAGGAACACATTGATTCAATGCGTTCCTATGGGAAGTTTGAATGTGCATGCTTGCGCATTAGAACCCATATGATACCTTAGAGAAAGTTCAGAGAAGGGCTACTAAACTGGTTCATGGACTGCGGGATAAAACTTACCAGGAAAGGTTAAAGGATCTTAACATGTATAGCTTGGGGGAAAGACGAGACAGGGGGGATATAATAGAAACATTTAAATACATAAAGGGAATCCACACAGTAAAGGAGGAGACTATATTTAAAAGAAGAAAAACTACCACAACAAGTCTTAAATTAGAGGGGCAAAGGTTTAAAAATAATATCAGGAAGTATTACTTTACTGAGAGGGTAGTGGATGCATG